GATAGATAGATAGATAGATAGATAGATAGATAGATAGATAGATAGATAGATAGATGATAGATAGATATGATATGATATGATATGATATGATATGATATGATATGATATGATATGATATGATGGTGGGTGGATATAGATGGATATAGATGGAGAGAGAGAGAGAGATAGGGATAGATAGATAGATATGGATGGAGATAGATATATATATAGAGAGAGGGATGGATGGATGGATAGATAGATAGATAGATAGATAGATAGATAGATAGATAGATAGATAGATAGATATGATAGATAGATGGGTGGGTGGATATAGATAGATATAGATGGAGAGAGAGAGTGAGAGAAAGATAGGGATAGATAGATGATAGATGGATATAGATAGAGAGCGAGAGTGAGAGCAAGATAGGGATAGATAGATGATAGATAGATAGATAGATAGATATGGATGGATATAGATAGATGGATATGGATAGATTGATATGTAGACGGGGTGTGTGGAGAGATGGATAGATTGATAAGATGATTGGATGGATGCATCCAGATGGCTGGATGATAGATAGATAGTGAGAGATGATAGATGATGGATGGATGGATGGATGGAGGATGGATAGATAACCGATAGATATGCATCCCTGTCTAATTAAAGAATAAAATGAAAAGATAAAGAAAATTACGTTTAAAAAAGAAAAACACCCAAGGAGCTGGGATCCAGACTACGGCACACGGGATTTTCTGTGCTGTGCCAATCAGCCAATTGCCCTGTGACCTGGATGGTTTTGGCATCGCTGGTGAGCGCTCCTCACCGCCTTCCTTTTATTTCCCTCCTAGGTGTGTTTGCCCCGACTCTCTTCTCCAAAGTCTACGGGAGGCTGGTCTGTGGGGAATGCCAGAATTATACCCAGCAGGATCCCCCCGGGCACTACGTCTGCCAGAGCTGCCACTTCGATTTGGTGAGCCGGTTCTCCTCCCCGCGAGAAGCAAGCCCTTCCCGCGCCATTTCAGCCGCCGAGGAAAAGCGACGCCTTGGCACCTGCCCACTGTATGGGGACGGTGGTACCCAGGTGGGCTGGGGAGGCTTGGATTGGTAGTCCCGGCACACCTGGGGGTCTTAAGGTGGCATCAGCTGGTCAGTTTAGAAGAAAACAGTTTGTTGGGTTGCTTTGGGGGGGGTGTCAAAGGAGGTTTGCATGTGGGGGTCTTGACTGGGCATCTCCGACTCTTTTCTTTGGTCTTGGTAGATGGAGAACAACGGAACTCTCTATTACAGCCATATTGAGTGAGTAGCTCTTGCTGGGAAGTTTTATGTTACGTTATGTTACGTTACGTTACGTTATATGTTATGTTATGTTATGTTATGTTATGTTATGTTATGTTATGTTATGTTATGTTATGTTATGTTACGTTAC